CCATTCCTGTCACTGCCGCAAAGTCTGAGAACTATGATCAAGATCGCCGCCGCAAGTCAAAATCCACTGCGTCTAGCTGTCACTCTGTATTTTATTAGCTATAGCACTTTTAACTTAGTGACCAAAAAATCATAAATTTTGAATTTTAGCTATAATAATAGCTTCAATTATCAGTTAATTTTCAGTCGCAAGGAAGCTGAAATTTTTCGGACGGTCACGACCTCGTCGCTATGATCGGCTATAGCAAAAATCTGTTATTAGGTGGACAACAGCGGTAACAACGTCTCCAGTTCCCACTTATGAGTTCTTCTGGCGCGCTTGCCTCCAACAAAGATCGAAAACAAAATTAAAAGCCCTAGTTTATTTTAGAACTCAGGCTTMATTATATTTAAGAGGTCAGTGCAGCAATTTACCGATGGTGCAAAGTTATTAAACTGAAGTTAATTAAAAATGCTTTGTCCCTCTCAAAAAACGAAGGTCTCCGTTTGTATCTATGCCAAGAACCAGCCTTTTCTGTTCGCATTTATTAGCGAACTGTGGCCCAAAAAARCCCCTCTTGCCAGCATATCTCAATCCTTTATCTGAAAGCGAGGAAAAGTCTGTGTTGCGCATGTGCATTTCTACCAAGACCGCCATGAAAATCATTGCCTCAATTCAATTGGTTCCAATATAATAGGAAATCTTTGAAAGACTTTGCTTTTGTAATATCCGGATTTGCGCTTTGTACGCAGCTTGTTCAATGTATTACTTAGCGGAAATACTAAATTGGTTTTACGCCAAAACAGTCGAATATGTAGACGACCGTTAAGGAATTTTGACAAAGAAATATTGGGCAATCTAGTGTTCAAGTGTTTCAAATGTCAAACGATAAAGGTGTTTTACACCACAAACGTCAGTATTTCCAAAGGATATCGAGACTGAATTAAGCTTCCTTCCTTCACAGTGGTTCATTTATCGTCGAGGTATAAAATTCCCTCTCTTCACATTGTGCATGTCTTAATACTAAAGRCGGCTAAAACCTTTAGACTGAGTAAACAGGAAAATTAAGAACATTTAGTACTTTTAAAAGAGAAAATCAAAGGAAAAGAAAAAGAAGAAATTAAATAATTGTTCATGATTATCGTATCTATTCATGAAAAGAAAGTTAATGACCGATTCATTAGTTCTCTTACTAGTACAAACAATGTTAAGTTTTTAATGGATGGTAGTTCTACTATCAGTTATCACAAATGGTAGTAGTCTAAAGCATGGGATTCAAAGATAGTCTTCTCAGAATCAAAYTGGAATATTCCTCAATCGAATAAGACCCCTCTAAAAGTCAGCCAGATTTCCGATCATTGCTTACTCSATGATGGTCTTTGCAATGATAATTCCCAAAAACAAATCGAAGGAGTATGCCAAATCTTCTTGATGATTTTATTGTATTAATTGCTATATCCAAAATGAGAGAAAAATAATAATACGATCGAGAAGTTTTCCTGACTGACGGAGATCAATGAAAAACTTAAACAAAGTAAAAGGGTCACTTGAAAATCCCACAAAAAAGGTATCAAGTGGTGGGCGAGTTTGAACCATTTGAAAGCCTTAAAACAACTATTAAGTTTTCCCTTCCTGTTTAATRAATTAATTTTAATAATGGTTCATTAATAGTTAGTTCCTGTGAGATGTATCAATAGAGCGRCATTAGTTGTTCAAACACTCTTTGAGATTCGGCAAACTAGGTTTCGCTCGGCTTTTGCAATATCATCACACACACACACACAAAATGTTAAGAACTAGGCTAATAGCTCTTCAAATAGTGCACTGATCATGGGGCCATGAATCGACACGTCACAGTCCTTGGGTCAATGCTTTTAAACTGATTGCGTCTCTCGTGTAAAGTGGCCTTTTATTTCTCTCCCTTTGATCACCTTCTGCCTCAGGCAGAAGTTAACAGTGTTATATACCGACAAGTCAAAAATCCTTGGGTCAATGCTTTTAAACTGATTACGTCTCTCATGTAAAGTGGCATTCTCTCTTCCTTTGACCTTTTGCCTGGTATATACCGTTCCTGCGGTTTTTTTTTCCCCTCTCTCTCTCTTGTTTTCTTTTTCCTCTTTTGATCTGGTAATATCGTATGATTATCAGAATTAGAAAAATGTTTATTGAATTTAAAAATTTCATATACYTGTACTACCTAAAAGTGAACGTAAATCTCTCTAAAGCAGCCCATTATTACCGATCAACCAAGCAATTATTTTTAGTCGCCCACTCAAAGGTCACTGTTAAGAACGGTAGCCACAAATGCAACAGGATGTCGTGTAGGCTCAGATTTCCAGCCGYCAGATTTCAGTTCCTCTAAGAAAAGATATCAATAAGCCAGATGAAAAGAAAAGAAAAAGAAACAGAGAGAAACAAACAAAATAAAGACAGATTTTCAAAACCCAATGCAAAAACCGAATCGCTCCTACTATAATACTCTGAACGAAAATGGGGATAAATAAACTTTTTTATTGTACACTCAACAAAATTACTCGACTCTGATTGGTCGAGAAGAGTACAATTATAGCGTTAATTGTACTCCGTAGGAGTACCAAATTAAGTCGCTATGGCAACGCGGCCAAAACAATGTCAAAACAATTATTTTCTATCATTTTGTACTTAAAAAACATATGAATAAATTTTTAAAGCCGTAAGAACTAATCTGTTTTATGCATTTCAGTTGCGCGATGGACTGAAAATCGGCCGCCAAATAGACAAAGATGAACGGCGTCGCTTCGCATTTTTTACTGAAATTTTGTTGAGTGAACTATAAACAAAAAATCGCAMGATCTTCTCGTACAATTTGGAATTAATAGACRCTCGTAATGTTTTGAAAGYTCTCAAATTGTACTCGAGATCGTGCGATTTCCTATACTAACTTACAAATATCAATCCGATCKATCGTCCTCCACATTTTTTCTGTTTTTAATTAGAAATCACAATTGAAACCTAACCCTAAACTTTGGTTTTTGGGTCTTTAATCGATACGTATCTTAATAGCTAGCAATGTATTTGACTAACGAAGCATTAAGTGGCCAATTAGCACGCATTTGATAYGCTTTTTCAATGACGTATATTTTAGGCTAGTATTTAACAGCGGAAAAAGGTCTGACAGCTCAATCAGCGCTGCATCCTTCAAAGCTYCAAGTACATGCTATTGTTCTGTGGGAAAAGGTTTCGTAATCTGACGGAACTGAAAGGGTATTTAACTGTGTCATTTGAATTTTGAAAAACGAAAAGTAACCGGTGCTGCAAACCTAGCTGATTGCACGAAAAATTTCTCACGGAGCGTTACATACAGGGAATACATAACTCTAACTTTGCCGAATAAATTTTTAGATCTGTTGTTGTTTGGGACATGAATCAAAAGGTAAGTAAATAAGCTGGGTAGTTGAATTTTTACCGGTATCAGATCATAACAAACTGTACCGTTTCGYAAGGGCCACGTCAATCTAACCGACTTGGACTCATTATACTAGAAATATATTGACTTTGACATCAYCCTATTTTGATTATGGTTTTAGTTAGCAAGCTGTGGTATAGAAATATCTCACTTCCACAAGCTTGCAAGAAATGGCTCTTGTTACTATTACAATCTGAAATTTCTTGATCGCTTCACACACTTGCTCATATGAAAGATCGAAGCGACAATTATTTGCTCAATTATTCTTTGCTTTTTTCTTTGTTTAATTTCATGTTTATACTATGAATAGAAACACAGTAATTTAGTCTTTGTGAACTTTACCTCATAAGACGATGAAGCTTTCTAATCAACGTTTTGTCGWTACGTTTCTCCATTTCTGTTTCTTTTTTCTTTTTCCCAGTCTTTTCTATATTTTGCTTTTTGTGTTGTKTTGTTTTATTAATTTTTTCTTGCATTTTCTTTTAATCCAAATTTGATAAAAATTACGTAGTCTATAGTAACCAGCCAAGAAAATGTTGGAGCTAAAAGGTTTAAGAAGCTTATGATCTAATATGACACTCTAACACTCGGTACAAGGGGGGAAACGTTGCCCRCATGCAAATGATTTGTGTATTTATGTAATATCTAGAGAGTATCAAATGCATGGTATCAAAAACAATCCAGTTTAATAAAACTGAAATTATTCTGTCTGTAACACGACAATGGAACCGATTYCTTGAAGTTAATTGCTCGTTAAACAGAAACATCCTGAGCTAATGAAAAAATGTTTGCCCCTGAAAATAATGCCTTTGAAGTTACTGCTTAGCAAAACCTTTAGCAAAAGTTTCATGTACTCGTAGGAGAGCCTTTTTTTCCCAGTCCATTTGGCCCCGGTCGAAGCCGYGTACATTGAGTAAGTGACGTACATKAAYTTTAAAAATAGTAAATATTTCTGATTCTCAGTATGATTATATCGATCTATCTTGAGTCAATTCTCAGCCATCGTGTCTCCAGCTCGGCTAGTCGACTCTTCAGTATTCCGTTCTTCAAATGTTTTGACTTAATTTCACGCTGAGACTTTGTTGTTTCCACACTGAGTCGATTGAACAACAGGTAAAGGAAAACGTATAGAGTTAATGATCGATGTACGAACCTACAAACTGCYAATTAGTTTCCATCATTAAACATTAATAGAGCCTCCCAAACGTCTTAAAAGAAACACAGGCAAATGTGAGCAAAATTTCTAGTTGTTTTAATAAAAGTACCAACTAGTTTATTGCGCTTGATCTTACAGTAGTTTTATCTTTGGRATTAGTTTTGGGTTTCTTTTTCGACCTTATTTGACAGCAGGAAATGCCACACAAGCCCCTGATGGAGAAAAGTAYATTCAAGTTCGACCCCAGCTGTATTCAGTAATATTTTATTACTTAACAGATATATAGAAACCTTTATTTACACAGGGTTATCCAGTCAGATATACRAAATGCAATCTGATATCAAAAGGAGCCCTAAAACAGATTGTACGTACACCCCATTAGACGATTGAATCAGAGTTTTCAACTTCAACATCATACTTTGGAATCATTACTTTTGGTATATCAAGTAAAAGCCCTGAAAACTATAGGAGAACAACTCGAATTCAATGGTCAATGAGGCTCGGAACGAGTGTCCTTAATAAAACATAATTTTAACCCCTCTTTTTAATTAATGCTTGAACCCATTAATTTTTTTCTTTGACCAAGCCTGAAATTTCACCTTAATYTGATTCTCAATAATGGAAGACAGATGGTTTAGCAACTGCTAGATCATAAACTAAACCTCATCTGCTAATATGTACCACGTAATCACCTATTTCTGTAATTTATTTTTCATAATGATCGGTGATGATCTCGGGATCAAATTGTATTTCAACTGCACGTCTAGCAGGTGGGATACAGAAATTTACAACGAGAAACACTAGTTGAYAACTTTTTCTCCAAAAACAAAAAACAAGATACACCAAAGAGCAAACAGCAGAAYATCAGTAACCATTACAAATGCCGCTCACCATATTATTGCCACACTATCAAACAAATATTTAGCTCGCTTTTCACATAAAAAGCAAGAACTGCTTTGGAACCTATATGACCTTTATACTGTTTTTTATTATTATCACTTTATGTCGTTTTTTTTTTAGGAAAGAAAAGGTTTACGGGTTTATTAAGGTGCAAGAGCAAAAAAATGTAAAAATAAAAAGATTTCAATGYTTTAAATCACTTATTTCAAGAAGGAATATACATTAGCATTTTGTTCTTTAGTGTTTCAGTTATCGARTTATGCGGGAAGTTATCGAATAAAAGTGGTTAACTGTAAAAATGAAGGAMGTTCGCGGGCACTTTTTGTGCGAAGCCTTTGTACGCAGCACGCGCKCTCATCTTGATGACGTTATTCGAATGCCTCAACTTGAAAAATTCTAACCCTGACAGCAAATWATGATTGCAACTTCATTTGCATGCGAACTTCCGTAATGTCTCATCGTCAAATGGGATATAATTCAATAGAAAGAGGATAGAGACCGAAAAATATATTAAACATTTATTAACCAAACTTTCCATTCTATTAGCCAAAGGCTATGCTTTCAATGCAAATCACAGGTGATTTAGATATGATGGCCCGACTTTCCCGGCATTGTTAGCTGGATGTGGAACTATAGTTAGTCCCCCTCTACTCACTATGTTCAACTGATTGGTGCCAACCAATTCATTTTTGCTTGAATAGAAATGTTTACTTCTAGTACAACGTAAATGTTTTGTTTTGTTTTTCATTCGTATCTTTTTTCCCGAACATCATTTTACAAGGAAGTAATGCCAACATCTCTGTTTTTTAATTCATTTTGAGCTTATTACCATTATATTTACATAGCGAAACAAGACATCAAAAGTAACAACTGGTTAGGCAAAAACTAAGAATATATGTTGTAAATAGCAAATCTAGAGCCACAATTCTTTGCATCATACCTAATAGTGCTATTATATGAATTAAAAAACAACAACAACAACAACAACGAAACAAAACAAAACAAAAAAAAACGTGAAATAATGGGCTAGCCTGCAATGGAGTCTACTGTTACATGTTTTGCATGTTTCTAAGCCTTATCCTAAAATATTTGCAGATGAGAAAGCCATATGCCCTCCTGCTGTTGTTGTTAATGGCAGTGTTGGTGTGTTCATCAAGTGCCTACACATATTATAAAGTCAATGAAGTAGGAAAGTCAAGAACAGATGGATTTTTCTGTGGAGATCGAATCATTACAATATATGAAGCACTTTGTCTTAAGAGAAGAGTACGACGTAAGTAAAAAAGTTATTTTACTTAGAATTTGCTTATACTAGCGCAACCCAGCAAGCAAGGCCTGCAGTAGTGTATACAGTAGAAACCCGCGTTTAAGAACCTAGATTTTTGTTTTGTTTTGTTTTTTAGTTAGCCTAAAAAGGTTCTTGTATAAATAGTGTTTACTGCAAAATTAAGCTATTTAGGTTCTTAAACAGGTTCTTATTTTCTTATATTCTCTTTTTGGTAGGTGTGCCTAAGTTTTCTCTAAATGACTACAATCTAAGCAAATACAATGACTATATGCACTTTAAAGCCGGCTACACTGTATATACAATTCAGTACTTTGATTTAAATTTTTTTAGCTTTGACTCTATTTGATTATAAAATAAGAACCTGCTTTTAGCTTTTAGGGGGTGTCGAAGAAAGGGGAATAGTAGTTTATCCTCTTTGTCATCGATAATGGCACCAGTCATGTTAACTCGAACTCTTTTTACAAGCTCAATCTCTATTTTYATTTACGAATTATTTCCAATCGCAAATTTGATGAAGGTCTTATTTAGTAGAGCCAGTGAGTGACTTAATGTTGTGATCTCGCCTTAGGTTCTCCTATTTTGAGCGGAGCCGACGCCAAAACTTTCATTCAAAAGAGATCAGCAACATATGGACAATACCATATAGTAGAAGAATGTTGTTCTGAAAGCTGCGCCTATGAGGAAGTACGGGAATACTGCTGACCAAGAAGACCGTAGCAGTAATAAGCAAGCGGTCTTAAATGGTTTGATTTTTTTCGATTATTTTATTAGATTATTTTATTGTATCAAGGCATGAGTTTGAATTGTTGAGGACAAGGGAATGCGGATCAAAATAAAAAGCGTATTTTGATTGGTCTAAAGATTACGTCAATTACTGGGCGACTTAAAATAACAGCTCACGTGACTCCTTAAAACTACCAGATATTTCTAAATACAGCGTTCCTGAAGTAAAATATGGATAATAGTGTATAAAGAATTAATAAATCATATCAATCATTAGCATCGTATAGTATAGCACGTATTATTTAGCAATTAGTCCTCGAGCCCAAATGGACCGAATGAGCTATCGACTCATAGGCCATAATGGCGAGAGGCCTAATTGTTCTAGTCAAATCCAACTGGTCGATCGATCAAATACGTAGATTTCAAAGCCGGCACTTCTCAGCCACTAGTAGGATATGACAAATAAATAAATAAAATAATAATGAGATTAACAGKGGATTCCACAGAGTGGGTCTTCTAATACTGGATTCCAATTGGGATTTAGAAGTTGATTTTTACGGTAGGAGAAAAAACCGGCGAACCCAGAAAACCCTCGAAGCACAGGAGAGAACGAACAAACAATTCTATTCACATACATATAACTTATAGCCTCAGAACGCAGAATTGATGATAGACTACTACTAGAGTTGGACTTGACTAAAACTATTTAGTTAAGACTATATATCAGACTGGTGTAAACAACAAAGATTACGTCACGATTGAAGACAATGACGTCACTTAGATGACGAAGTTAAGTACTAAATCAGATAAAAGAATTGCAAGTGTGACGTAACTAAACGTCTTACAATTAGAGTTGTCATAGRACGTAATCAATAGCATAGTTAATCAGTCATTGATTATACATCATATTATGGTGTGTGCTATACTAAACGGAATACGGGATTACAACTCCCTATTACATATACACTTATTTCAATAAAGTTAGTCACCTGAAAAGYTAWAAAGTTGAGGCCCCCAAGGATTATGGGTAGATTCATTTTACACGTTCAACCACTTGATAACTGTTCATGGACTTGCGAATCTTTTGCCGGTTACAGTCTCACCTCTTCTGAGCATCATCGAGCTGCAGTTTGTATCAAAAAAGCTTTGTATATATATGCTTTTTTGATATGAAAATTTTCCCATGATGCTCAGTGATCTCAGCTTTCTAGGTTTTTGGTGACTAGCTTTATTGAAATAAGTGTATAAGCATAAACCTATTTCAAAAGACATCATCGGTCGGAGACCTGAAATCTGAAATCATGCTGTGAGCTGTGGATTTACATATGAAGAAGAGTTATAACTGTCTTCTCTTTTTAGTTAGTAGTTCACAACTAGTTGTTATCTAAATATTCCATCAACTTTTAGCGATTACCTGCGCTGGCAAATTGTCTCAAATTTCAGATCTCTGGTCTCATATTATAATAGGTGGATAAAAACCAATGTTCATATTTTATCGCTTCATCTGGAAAAGGATTATACTCGCGGTTAAACTATAATGTTCGTTTGTTYTGTTCATTTACTTCATATCGGTTTGTTAAAAAATCGAACGATGGAAAAAATATCAAGTCATTTAAGAAAGGCTGCTGCTTTGGTTTTAGAATGCACTACGATGGATAAAAAGTGAAAATGATATCAAGTTATACTAAAGACTCCTATTTATATAAATAACGACTATTTAATTGTACATTGTTCAAGGAAACCTAAACAAGATTACTGCGTCATATATATTAAAACTATCAGTACTAATATGGAAAATATGTCTTTTGTATGTGTCGTTAATGCCATCGCACACCAGCTTACTACTACATCTTTCCTATATAGATGCCCTAAAATATATATATTTAGGCACTGTTCAAAAGCGGAGCTCCCAATAGCGCAGCGCGCTGATTCTAAAAATAGCCTAAAAATTCGGACAAACATTGCATTCTGTTTAACCGCTACGAGGATTATACGAACCGATTTCATTATTTTTACTTAAAGTTACAGTAATAACCCATGTAAACTAAGATCAACTGCGATCGGCTGTGAAAATTATTTGCTGAAAGTAAACTCGTAAGTTTGTTTGTCCGAATTTCGCCTTTGTCTTCGTTTTTATGACGTCACGGCTGCGCTGCGCTATTTTTCGATTGCACGTTACGTCATCGTGGCCTCCCGTGGGAGCGTTGGTGCCATTTAACRAAAGATATCTTATTTGCATCCATTGTAAACGGCACCACAATGGCCGCCATGTTTTTGTTTTTTGAATCTCTCGGGAATGCTTGAAACCAATCAATAGGTACATGGAGCTCAATTTGAATAAAACTGAAAGGTGAATAAAAGTGAAAGGTAAATAAAACTGAAAGGTGACGATAAAATCAGGGGGAAAATCTTCAATTATTTTTTTTTTCTAGATGAAGTTAATGATCCCAAGAACTGATAAGGTAAAAATTATTCGAAAGAGAGTTTTGACTGTAATAATTGTTAAATAGAAAGACAGATACCATTGTCAGCAAAGATGACGATGAGTGCATATGTCGATTATACGGCAAAGGCCCGGAAAGTGTCTCACACATCCTAGCGGGGTGTAACGCGCTTGCGCAAACGAAGTACCTTGCGCGACATAGATGCAGATATACTTATTTCAATGATATTTCGCTGAGAATCATGGGGAAATGTTTTATATTCAACAAGTAAAGCTTTTGACACAAACTGCAGCAGTTGAGAATGCTCAGAGGAGGTTAACTTTTGTAACTGGTAAAAGATCTCAAGTCCTTCAACAGTTATCAAGCGGTTGAAACATGTAAAATGTATCTATCCWTGATCCTTGTCGGTCTCAGCATTGTAGCTTTTCAGGTGACTAACTTTATTGAAGTAAGTGTATGCATATTCTGAGATAAAGCGTGGAATACATATCCCGGGGAGATTCCATGTCACCGTTACTATGCATCAAATGTCTCATACCATCGACGTCCATACTGAACAACACAAGGAAAGGTTACAAGCTGAACAATGGTAATGTACTGAATCATTTGTTATGCATGGATGATATGAAGCTCTATGGGAAGAACGAGAAAGAATCGAGTCACCRCTACACTCTGTACGAATATTTAGTTCAAACACTGTAAGAGAGAAAGAACTTTCCWTGAAAGAATATGTCAGCAAAGATGAAATTCTATGTAACATTGAAAGGGATACCTTGAAAGAATCAGAAGAGACCAAGAAAGAATACCGACACCGCAGGCAGAACGAAAGACTTGAAAGATACAAAGGCAATCAAGCCTTTACACGGAAACTACATCAAGACGTGCGAGGACAAAATGGATAAGCCGCGGAAGAGCACTTGRCTCTGGCTAAAGAAAGGACACATTAAAATGGAGATGGAAGGACTACTCACTGCTACACAGGACCAAGCACTACCTACCAACTACTTGAGAAGTAAGTACAACAGTAGTGATTCATCGCTGTGCCGGCGATGTAAAGAAAAGACGGAAACTGTGGACCACTTTGTAGCTGATTGTAAAGTACTGGCAGGGAGAGAGTACAATTACAGACATGACAAAGTGGTGAGAACAATCCATTGGCACCTATGTATGTAGGAAACGCCAAATACAGTCCACTGCAGATAATTGGAGGGATCACGAACCAGAGAAAATGGTGGAAAACGAAAAGTGGGATTTTAATGTTTACACGGATAAGAAGATTGAAGCAAGAAGATAATAATTCTTAGGTCTTGTGAAAAGACTCGACTAGTACCAGGAAAAAACTTGTATAATCCTGAGGTTGAATAAAATATACTAGTAAAAATACACAGGTGATTATTGAAAATCTC